CCCTGCAACGAGGCTTTTAATTTGATAAGCTGGCAGTGAAGCGTGTAATTTTCACCTCTCTTCCCCCAGTTCCCCCCCACCCTCCCTTTTTCCCCCCCTCCCTGGTTTGTTCTGCAACACAGGGAATCTTTAGCAAGAAGGGATGGAAGGATATTAGTGTCAAACTCAAGGCATCCATCCTGTGGTGTGCTTAAGTTCTGGCCCATGGAGTCAGGCTGGAAATGGCAAAGGATTGGTCCACGGTGCCTCCATTATTATTAATTTTTATTATTTTTTTTTGGGCTGACGGAGGGCTAGCAAAACCAACTACAAAAAAAAAAAAAACCAAAAAGAGAGAGAAATGTTTTCCCCCTTTTTTGCATCTGAGCGTGCAAAAAGGGACAAGGAAAAGGAGAAAGGGGAAGAGGAAAGAGAAAAAGCAAAAGGGGCGACGGTGGGAAGAGAGCAAGGAAGGAAAAAGTGAGGAAAGAGGGGAAGGAAGAAGGAGAAAGGGAAGGATTGGAAGGGAAGGGAAGGAATGGGAAAGAAGGAAAGGAAAGGAAATTATAATGAGTGAGGGTCTCAGGGAAGTTCTGCCTTAGTACTTGGCAGGACAGGTGATCCCCCTGACATGAGTGATGTCGAGCTGGCCACGCCCCTGCCCCCTGGCCACGCCCACCCCCCCAACACAACCCTGATGCAGCCCTCGATGACATCAGGTTTGACACCCCTGCTGTAGGGTGTTGGAGAGAGAGAGAGAGACCTTGCGTGGAAATGGGGATAATTTGGCTTTCACGAGGGGCCAAAAATCGAGATTTCCTCTGCTGTAGAAATCAAAAGAAAGCTGGGCCTCTGGGTATGTGCAGAGTGCGTTTAGGATGAAAAGGAGGGGCTTGTTGGGTATGGACATGGAAAAACGCTGCAAAAGCCTGGCATTTCCCTGAATAACTTAAAAGCGTTTTCTCTTTTCTCCAAACACATATTTTTTTGTTTTGTTAATACAGGTATAGTCCCCCGACTCATATTTACAACGGCCGCAGCGTCCTGGGGGTCATGTGATCTCCTTTTGCGGCTGTCTGATGAGCAGAGTCAGTGGGGAAGGCAGATTCACTTAACAACCAGGTTGTTAACTTAACAACTGCAGTGATTCCCATGGCAAGAAAGGTGGTAAAACTGATTTAATTGAACATCTCGCTTAGCGACAGAAATGGGCTTGATTGCAGTCGTAAGCCAAGGACTACCTCTGATGGAGAAACTTAAGCTTCCTGAATCTTTGAATAGAGCTAACTAATCAGGATCCAATTAGGTATATTTCTGATGGGGGAATGAGGAATTTTGCTTAATTTTGCTCTCCAAATTTCATGCCTAACAGCCTGGATTGAACCAAATGCAACTTTTATTATAAAGGCCTGATACGCAATTTGGGGCTCTCTTGATTTGATTAAATCTTTGATTGAATTGAGGATTGAATTAGATCTTCAATTTAATTGAGGATTGGATTAAGTCTTCGATTTGATTGAGGATTGGGTCTCGATTTAATTGAATCACAAAATTGATCGGAGTTGGGTCTTTCTGAAATTTGGCACAATTTGTTGGCAAGACAACCCACCCACCCCCCGAAGATAGAGCCGCCCTCTGGTATGTTTTTATTTCCCCCCCAAAAAAATACAGGGGGTTCCTACAATTTCCCCCCCCCTTCTTCTCCCCCTTCTTGAAGGTGGTGGCTCACATTTTACCCTTCCGGAATCAAAACCGAGAAAAATTGGACCCACTCTGGAATCGCCATCATGTGGAACGCGTGGAAATTGTTCTGAAAGAAACTGTGGATGTCAAAAGTACGTCTGCGTCAATTTGGTTGGGGAGGAAGAATCAGTGGGAGGGGGACTTATGATTTTATTATTGATGTAAATGAATTCTGCATTTCCATATTTATTTATTTTTTCTGGACGCTTTGGGCTTTCTATGCTGAAGTTCCCTTAAGTTTTTGACTTAATTTCTTTTCTTCCATTTAAGCTAGTCACGTCCAGTTTTGGCCGGCTGCCTTTAGCAATTCATTAAACCCTCTTTTTTATATATATATTATATACTCTCAATCCAGGGATGCCTTTCTTAGCAGCCCCCCCCCCCCCCCCAAAAAAAAAAAATATCTGTGAAAACAGCCCCGTGTTTTATTTGATTGGCTTTTTACTTTATGCATGCTGGTTGCTTTCCACGCTCCGAGTGGCATTCCAGTGGCCTGAGTCTCTGAGAGGATTTCCTGTGTGATTGTGGCAATCATGGTTTATTAAAAACCATGAGGACTAGTGACTTAACCTTAATTACACAGGAAGAGCTGAATTGATAAAGCGCCTTCATTGTGCACACAGAAAGTCGTCCACGGAGAGAGAGAGAGAGACAGACAGAGACAGAGAGAGCTTGGTGGAACCTCGGGAAGTCACTGTTGTGGGTAAAAGTCACAACACTGCTGTTTTCTCACACCCAGCCCCCAACCCCTGGTGGTGACCTCCCCCCCCCCCCCCCCCTGCAGCCTCAGAAATGTGCCTGGGCTGCGCACGGTGCCCGCAACGCATTATGTTATTAAAAGCAACCAGCGTCCCATTTCCTAAAATAATCATTTTAAACTTGGCAAATTCCAGAGTTTTTTTTTTTTTTTCCTGGCTGGGGCACGAGGAGGAAATTCTTGGCGCGTCGTTGCACACAGCGGTTTTGCTCATGCGAAGGCTCGTTTGTTGAAGGACGGGGGAAAATGGGCCGTGCGTTTGCTTGCAGTACGGCCCTTTAAATGTTTCTCCTCTTTTGAGTTGGAAAAAAAACCTCCCCTTTTTTCCTTTCCGTCTTCCTGGTTGCAGCACGAAGCGGTCTAACCAACAGCGATTTTTCTCTCCTTTTTTGAAGGACACTGCAGCACTGGGACAATCTGTCTAACTCCCCTGACTCGTTTCTCGCTCTTTGTCGAGCGAGATGACCTTTTTTTGGGGGGGGGGTCCCCAAAGGCTAAAAACAGGGATGGGCCCCAGATACTGTAGTTCTTGAGCAGGAGACCACCAGGGGATCCCACCCTTGGGTGCAGAGGCCAAAAAAAAACCATCTGGGAAGAGAGCCGGGGTGTGTGTGAACGACATTTCCTCCCCTGCTAAATGGGTCGAATAATTTTGCCAACAGGCGCCCGAACGCGGAAAGCTTTTCAATTCTGCAGATTTAATTTGACAGATTCATCGATTCATCGCGACATAAATTTTGGCTCGGGTGAGGCTTCTCATGCGGCTTGTCCCTTCTTCGCCCAGATCGCACAGAGTTTTACGAGCAGTATGGCGTCCTCCGCGACATGCACCAGAACCACCTGACCGAAATCCTGATGTCTCTCGCCATGGAGCTACCAGCCAACCTCACCAACTCGGAAGAAGTCCTCCGGAGCAAGCTCGGGGCTTTCTCCAGCTTGCGAAGCTTGGAAAAAACCAGCGCCGTGATTGGCCAGTACGCGGCGTACAGCGCCCACGTGAAGGAGGAGCTTCAGAAGGAGCAGGACTATTTCACCAAGACGCCAACGTTTGCAGGTAAATCTGGACACCCAAGCAGGGGGGGTGGTATTCTACTGGTTCAGCCTGGTTCGACTGAACCGGTAACTCTGAGAATTATCCGTGAGCGAACAGGTTCGCTCCAACGATCAGCTGCTGTCTCTTATTCCCCGTGATGGTGAACCTATGGTATGTGTGCACACAGAGCCATTTATGCGGGCGTACGAGCGCCAGGCAAACTTACCTCACTGCGCATGTGCATGCCTCCCAGCTAATTTTCGGCCCGTTGGAGGCCTTTTTCAGCCTCCCAGAGGCTTGAGGGAAGCCTCTGCAGCCTCGGAGGCCGAAAAACAGGCCCGTTTTCGTCATTTCCTGTATTTCTGGAATTTTTGGCACAGGAGCACAAAAAGGTTAGCCACCACTGGTTTTGAAGCTCAGCGGCTTCGCGCGGCACAGCGGATTGTCACGCGCCAGCTGTTGAACACACAGGGAGAGTGCAGGATGGCAGGAGAAGGTCAGTATCAAGCCCTCTGTGCATGCGCAAAGCGTTTGCAAAGCGCCCCCACCAAGCCACACCCACAGAACCAGTGGTAAAAAAATGTTGAATCCTCCACTGCATTCAAGGCGGGGGTGTATGTGTCACCTTCCTCTTATTTTGAGAATGCCAGCAGGGGTGGGGGGGGGGGGGACAAGTTTATGTATTGCACAGAAGTTAGCAAGGGCCGGAATTTCCTCCAGCATCACAACAACCTTGTAAGGTAGGCGTCAGGTTTCCGGCCTGCCGAAGGAAGAGGAGGAAAAAATAAATAAAAGGAACGACAGTCTTCAGAACAGTTAAATTGTTATTTATTTGCCAGATGGAGGGTGAAAATCCAGGTGCAAATGTATGAATTGCGGATCTGGGGAAAAAAAAGATAGAAGAAACTAGAATATAGGGGAAGGACTCAGATTTCCCCTATTCACGGCCCTCTAGAGACATAAGTGTAGTGCTTGAAAGGAAGCGAGTGGATTTGTTGGTTGGGGATGATGGGGCTTGTAGTCAGCCCCCATTTGGAGAGCTTGGGGTCAGTTTGAGCAGAAGGGTTGTTTCTGCCTGGAAAAATTATGGTGTGGTTCATCAGCTTTGCTTTTATCTTCGAGACGAATCTATAACTCCCGCACACCTGGTCTTCCCTGCCTATGGGTCCGAAGCCACCCATTTTCTCTATCGTTTTAGGGGTCCTCGTTCATTTGGACAATCTACGCTGGGAAGGGGTACCGTTCGTCCTGACGTCCGGCAAAGTCCTCGACGAGCGGGCCAGCTACGTCCGCATCCTGTTCAGAAACCAGGCGCACTGCGTCCAGACCGAGAGTGCCTGGGAGGCCGGACGCAGCTATTGCAAGCCGAAACAGATCGTCTTCTCCATCGGGGGCGGAGAGCTGGATTCACCCGCGATCCTGGTTAGCCGCAACCTTTTTCAGCCGGCCATGCCCCGCGGCGCCTGGAAAGAGTTCTTGGACCGCCCACAGCTCCGCCTTTGGGGCCAAAGTCTCTCCGATTATCACGTCTACGTCCCCGCTACCCAGCGGGACGCTTATTCCTTCCTGCTCTCGGCGATCTTCCACGGGAGGAAGGAATCCTTCATCACCACAGAGAATCTGCTGGCCTCGTGGGCCTTTTGGTCTCCGTTGCTGGATCAGCTGAGCCGCCAATTGCCCCGCCTGTATCCCGGAGGCCCAGAAAACGGGGCCCTGTTGGATTTCGAGATGATCGGCAAGGAAGTGGCTTTCCTAACTAGAGAGACTCTGGAGGTGATCGACGCTGAGGATAAATACACCGCCGACCGATTCCAGACCCTGCTCTCCACCTTTCGGGAGAGCCGGTTGGTTACTGCCTGGGCCGACGACCTCGTTGGCCGCCTGGCGTCCGACATAGAGACCACGGCGCTCGACGCCATCCGGCGGCGCAGCGAGTTCCACTTGGCGCTTTCCGGCGGCTCGAGCCCCTTGGCCTTGTTCCGGCAACTCAGCAGGCATCACTACGGCTTCCCGTGGAAGCAGACTCACTTATGGATGGTGGACGAGCGCTGCGTCCCGCTGGCCGACCCGGAATCGAATTTCGGGCACCTCCACCACCACTTGCTCCGGCACATCCGCATCCCTTATTTCAACATCCACCCGATGCCTGTGCACCTCAACCGGAGGCTCTGCGTGGAAGGCGACCGAGGGCCGGAGCTTTACGCCAACGAGATCGGGGCCTTGGTAGCCAACTCCAGCTTCGACCTGGTTCTCCTGGGAATGGGCACCGACGGGCACACGGCTTCTCTCTTCCCCTACTCGGCCGGCCTTGAAGGAGACCAGGGTGTCATCTTCGCCGAGAGCCCCGCCAAACCGCACCAGCGTATGACGGTCACTCTGCCACTTATCAACAAAGCCAGACAAGTGTCCATCTTGGTGATGGGGAAAAGCAAACACGAGACGGTCTCGATTGTCAGCCGGTCAGGAAACGACGCCGAGAAATGGCCAATATCGGGGGTGAAGCCCCAAAAAGGCCAAGTATCCTGGTATATCGATTACGAAGCCTTAATGGGGTGATTCTTTCTGAAACTGTGGCGTTACTCAGCAGAAAAACTTGAGGGTGTGGTGTGAAAATTGTCTGGGGGATGAATTGAGGGGGCAAAAAAAAAATCCTTCAGGATGTGGTGTGAAAATTGTCTGGGGGGATGAATTGAGGGGGCAAAAAATTACTCAATGGACCACCGCTGTTCAGGTTGTTTTTCTTCCCATTAAATTGTCTTAGTAACAGCCAAACCAGGTTTTCTCACCACCCAGGAAGTGGCCTAATTTCCTGTTCATCTCTCAGGTTTGGGGAGCCTGTGTAAAGCTTCATTGAAAGAACATCCAATGTTTGGTGGCTGCTTCCTCTTCCCTTTATTAATTTAACTAATTCTTGTTAATTGAGCCGTCGGAGGTGGCATTCGTTACCGCACCTTGTGGTGCTGAGTTCCCCTGGCTGAGGTTGCTTTTCAAGTGGGAAATCAAGAAAGAGGTAGGAAATATTTTATAAACTTCTTTCCTACCTTCCTAGCCAAGGAACAAGTTTGCTGAGTGCCTCAGTTTCCCTCCCTTCGGGCATTATTTAAACAACCCCGGGAAGCTTTCAAGTGGAAAAATTGGGAGAAGTAGGAAATATATTTTTTTCCAGTTCTTTTTCTACCTTCCCAGTCAAGGAACAACTTTGCTGTGTGCCTCAGTTTCTCCCTTTGGGAGTCATTTAAACAACCTACCTCGCAGAACTACCTGCCATTCAATCCCAGGTAAAAATATATACAGACTGCAGTGGAAAGATATCGACTGCCAGAAATTCAGTTTTGAGATAAAAATTAGTTTAACTGAGCGGGTTTATCGATGTTCAGCTGTGGGCCAACATCAGGCTCCTTTTGCGTATGGAAAAAGGCAGGTTGGTTTTGACCTGTAGAGGTTGGGCTGAGTTCCGGAAAAAAAAATGCACTTCTAAGCAGACAAAATGTTGCTAACTTTTCTGGTGTCCCTCCGATTCAAATCAGCATAATTCTGCTCTGGATCGGAGATTTTATCTTGCAATCTAGTTTTGATTTGGTGTCAAACCAGTTGCTGAAACTGACTTGGGGCAACTGGGGGGAAAAAAAATAGAGAAATGTAATTTTACCACCAGGTGGTGCCCTTTCCTAATTCTGGATAGAATGTTTTGCAAAAAAAAAAAAAAAACAGAAACAGCAAACAACAGACAGTGGGGGATGATAGGGATTGTAATCCTTGAAGCCCAGAGGGCAGCAATTTATAGAAGGGTACACTAGCATAAAAAAAATGGGACAAACCATGTTTCTTTTTCTGAATTTAAACTAGAGATGGTTGAAGTTTGATGGAATTATTGCAATAATCAGAAAGTGCCTTAAAGAGCTGTTTTCCTGCTAGGGTGTTTTCAAACACGGCCACTTTAAGGGGTGTGGACTTCAACTCCCAGAATTCCCAAGCCAGCCTGGAGAATTCTGGGAGTTGGGGGGGTCCGCACCCCTTAAAGTGGCCGTGTTAAAAAAAATTCAATTTAAACCAATGTTTCCCACGTGTGATTTTCAATAACTACTGATATTTTTCAACATCTTCCTGTTTTGTCCAAAAGGATCAATGTTCAGTATTTATACGCCTGAAATAAGTGGTGTTTTTTTAAAAAAAATTTGTACAAGAAAATTGTAATAAATTGTTCGGCTCTGTTGCATTGGCTGGCTTTGCTGAGGGGGGTGGGTGGGTTGGGCTGGGGATAGATTGCCTACACCCAAGGAGGCTCTGCTGGGGTCATTGCAATTACGGGGTCGCTTCCCTTCCAACTAAGCCGGGGTGTGTGAATTGTGTTTCCTTTTAAAGCAGGCCAGCTGTAGTGTCTCCAGTGTATGCAAAGCCCTTCCAGTGTTGTGTGGGCGGTTGCGTAGTTGTTGTTTTTTGACCCCTTCTAGCTTGTGCAACCGGGGTGAAAATGCGAAGTCCGTTTTCAGAAAACGACTTCGAAGGTCAAGCCAAAAAAGAAAAAAAACAACAACAACACCCCCGTTGTTTCCTTGAGTCAGATTGGCAGCTGTCGGTGGGCATCCGTCACAGAGACACTTTTGTTCAAGCAGGCTGCGTTCGCGTGCTTGGTGTCGGCCATGCAAGAAAACAACAAGCTTTTTTGAGTGGTACACAATGGGGCCGAACGCACAGCTGCTGGGAGATAAGGAAGAACAAACCTATTTGTGCCCAAGGGTCAGGCCAAAACCCAATCTCTTGACAAGGGGCAAACTTGGCTAATCGGTGGAGCGCACGGCTTCGACGACACTGCAGCCTCACCCTATGAATGCGCCATCCATGAAACGGCCTAATGTATTCTCACTTCCCTGCCATCGGTTGACATTGGACTTCCCTTCCCACCCCAAGCTGATGCAGTCCTGGATTCCCATTGCTTTCCTACGGGCAGATAGACTGCTTCGGAAGATGGAGGTTTGGCTAAAGAGAGCAGCCCCGAAGTTTGCTAAGTGTCCTTGGGGGCGGCCACCTCGCAGGGCTGGTGTGCAGTGGAAAGGCGAGCATTTTTGTTTTTCCCAAGGAAAAGGGTATTATTATTATTTTTTAATTTTATTTATTGAATTTATATTGCTGCCTATTCGCCCATGGCGACTTGAGGCGGCTTACACAATGTAAAACCATATTTAAAAAATAAAAATAAAAAAAAAACAATAAAAACTAACAAAAAGAATCAAATACATTAGTTAAAGTGTAATAGAACAAAATTTGGGGGGGGAAATTAGGGCCACAGAGAAAGGATTCACGTGTTTAATAGCATTTCTAGCGAGTGCTGTTTTTTTTTTAAAAATGTCATGTTTTCCTTCCTAAATCAGTTCACTCAGGACTAGAAACTTAAAGCTCCCCGGTTTTAAGTTGAACTTTTTGGGAACATGCAGGCAAGTCAGTTCATGTCTGCCTTTAATATTTCCAACAGGGCCTGGGGGGTAAATATTTCGTTTTGTTTTTAGGGCTCAGCGGAATCATTTAAATCTGTTTTTGACAAGCAGGAAGTGTTAAAAGAGCTACCGTTTCTTTTCTTCCCTTTTTTTTTTTTAAGGAATCTGTCATCTTCTAGGACAAGAAGGAAAATAAAACCCCAAAACTTTCCAATTTAAATTAAAGAAACGATGAATGTAACCTTTTTATATTTTTTTTTTCATTTTTCCTTAGAGGAAGATGAAAAGAAGGCTGGCAACATTTTTGTGAGGTTTATTTACAAAAGGCCAACGAAGTAGAATCAAACATCATCATCATTATTATTAATTAATTAATTAATTAATTAATTAATTATTTGCTGCAGAAAAACTCCGGACAAGCCAAAAATCGGCTCAAGCTTTTGCAAGTAATCCTCAACTTACAACAACCACAAGGGAGCTTTTAAATTTCTGCCGCTAAAGCGAAACCTTTGTTAAAGTGACTTTTGCCCCCTCCCGTTTCATGACCTACAGTTGTTAAGTGAAACCTTTCTCAAAGTGAATTTTGGCCCGTTTTACGACCTTCCTTTGCTGCAGTTGTTAGGTGAAACCTTTGTCAAAGGGAATCTTCCAAGCTGGTTTCCTCGCCAGCAAGGCGGGGAATGCCCCAAATTGGTTGCAATTCCCCATGCGTGTGGATATTGCTGGCAACCTTGCTTGCGCAACATAGGATGGGGATGCGCGATGTGGGCGACTGAGACTTGAGACCTTCAAGAGAAGATTGGACTGTTCATTTGTCAAAAAATGGTGTGTAGGATCTCCCGCTCGGGCAGGCGGGGGGGGGTTGGACTAGATGACCTACAAGGTCCCTTCCAACTCTGATTATCTGTTAATCTGAGCCTCTTAAAAAGAGTGCAGAGAAGAGCAATAAATACGATTGGGGGCTGGAGGTTACAACCTACGAAGTACACAAGTTACAGGAATTGGGTGTAATTTAAATATAGGTAAAGGTAAAAGGTTCCCCTCGCACCTACGTGCTTGTCGTTTCCGTCTGTTCATCTCTGTCACAAAGCCGAAGAGCCGGCGCTGTCCGAAGACGTCTCCGTGGTCATGTGGCCGGCAGGACTAAATGCCCGTTCCCTTCCCACCAAAGTGGTCCCTATTCTTCTACTTGCATTTTTTTTTTACGTGCTTTCAAACTGCTAGGTTGGCAGAAGCTGGGACGTAACTGGGACTTAACTGGGAGTAACGGGAGCTCACTCTGTTGTGCGGCAATGCTAGGGATTGAACTATAGCTACAAACAAACAGATGACAGAAATGATACAGTTACAGGGTCTCCCTGCTTGAGCAAAAGGGGGGGTTGGACTAGATGACCTCAAAGGTTCCTTCCAAGCTCTTTTTTTTTTTTTGATGGTTTGATTGAACAGCCTGCCTCCAGAAGTTGTGAATGGTCCATCGCTGGAGGCTTTCAAGAAGAGCCCCGACAGAAACGATACAGTTACAGGGTCTCCCTGCTTGAGCAAGTGGGGCGGGGTTGGACTGGATGACCTCCCAGGTCCCCTCTTTGGCCGCCTTCTTTATCCTCTTTCCCATTCCGCCGGTCTCCCTTAAGGAGGAGGAGCCGAGGCGGAGCTGGGCGGGCTGGCGGCTCTCATGTGATGCGACGCCGCTGCTATTAGAGCGCTCGGCGGCCCCCGCGGGCGGACTCCGGCCTGCGGGCGAGCTGCGCGGTTCACACGAACGTGGGTCAAGCCGACACGAGAGACGCGCGTTGAAGGGAGCGGAGCGTGGGGGCGATCGCCTGCAAGCCGCGAGTTCGCCCAGAGGCCCGATCCATCCGGCCGGCCGGAGAGGAGAGGAGAGGGATGCCCGGCGTTGCAGCCCGGCGAAGGTGCGCAAAAAAAAACCCTCCACTACTTCGCTTTGCAAAACCTCTGGATCCGGATTAAGTGGGTGGAATTGGGTGGCTTCTCCTCCTTTTGCAGAAGAAAAGGGGGGTGCAATTGGGGAAGGGGGGTGGGTGGATTAATTCACCCTTAGCAATCTCTCTCTCTCTCTCTCTCCCCCACCCCACCCTGGATCTCTTCTCTCCGGCTTTGGATGGCGACTAGTTTGCGCGCAACGCGTTCCTGCGAAGGAACTTCCCCGATTTTTTTGGGGGGGAGAGAACTGGGTGGAGGGCCAGCCCTGCAAGGTAGGCCCGTGGGGAGGGGGGGCTTCTGCCCCGTTCCCCCCCCAAAAAACCTGGAAATTTCTCCCCCCCCCTCAAGCTTTGAATCGCGCATCTTTCTGGTTTTTCAGCTGCGAAAGTCAGTTGGAGTTGCAAACTCGGTTAAGGGGGTGGTTGGGCTTACCAAATGAAAAAACCCCCATCCAGGATTCACACAACCGTTGTGTTGACACCCCCCTGCCGCCGCCCCCCCCAAAAAAGCCGGAGGAGGAACAAACTTGGGGCTATAAACAGAAATGGTGTGTAGGCTTTCCTGCTTGAGCAGGGCGGGTTGGACTAGAAGACCTCCAAAGGCCCCTCCCGCGACTCTCTTGGTTAGTCTGTATGTAGAAGCAAGCCAAGTTTTGGGTCATTGCAAGGGGATTTTTGGGGTTGTGGGAATCCACCATGGGAGGTTGCGGGGGAGATGCAGCAGTTTGAAAATTCTGCAAAAAATAATAATAATAATCCGTATTTGGGTTTTTTTTTAAAGAGGGTGGGGGGAATAAAGAGCTAAACTCCCCTTTCTTTAGTGCTGGGAGCTTTGGGGGCCTGCAGGGGCTTTAAAAAAAAACACCCAAATTCTTGATATATCCATTGAACAAAAAGCTTATTTGCATTATGAGAGAAGGAGGGAGTTTAAAACTTGCCTGTTGTACCTCTGGTCAGACTGCTAAGGGAGTAATGGAGTTGTTCCTTGTTTGCGTAACCTTGCCTCTTTCTTTGCATCACTCTTCTTTAACTGCTTGTCTTCAGGGACCCTATTTTTTTGGGGGGGGGGACTTTAGGTTCAGCAGCCCCTGCGAATAAAAAAGGGAAAAAAGGAATATTTTTTTTCCTCCTCTAAAAATTGGAATCTCTCATCTGCTGCCTTTTCAGAAGCTATTAAAACCGTTTTATTTAAATTAAAATCTTGACAGGCCTAGTGGTTAGAATATTGGAAACAGAGCCATGTCCATTTAAGATATGACTATAGTTTCTGCTAAGAATTAGCTTTTCCAGAGACGCATACTATATCGGTGACTAAGATAGGAAGTAGCATACTATATCGGTGACTAAGATAGGAAGTAGCAGGCCGGGCCTTTTTAAACCAGCCTCGCTCATGTTTCTTATGGCTTGACCAGCTGGTTTATAGCAGCTTGCAGTGTCCAGTACAATAACCCTGTAAGGTAGGCCACTACTGACTTTTCCTTTTACTAATGCAAAGCTACAAACAACTCTGTATCTGAATTGGGGAAGCTTGTGAGCTTCTGGCTAATTTGGGAGCCTGCTCATGATGGTTTTATTCAGTAAACCATGATTGAAAGCTGGGTGTGTATCTTGGCTTCTTGGTCAAATGATGGTTGAAAAGAAGCTGTGTGGCTTGGTGTGATGGGTGGACCCTGCTGACTGTGAATTATTCAGAAACTGTGATTGTGTGTGTGTGTAAATTAGCCAGTTCTGCTTCTTCAACAAGCTATGTTCAGAATAAACAATGGTTTTCTGTGCTAACTGAACCCACCTTCTAGTTTAAAGCTTGCATTTGATTTCCTAATATTTCTAATTTCTTATATATATATATATTAGGATGGGTGGGATTGACACAAGTGGTTTTTCCTTTGAGTTATTTAAACTTGCGTGCCTGTCTTTTGCTGGATCCTCTTGGGTACTACAATTTCCATCATTCCCAGCCAGTTGGATCCTCCTCCTACAAGTTCCTACCTGTGGAAAAAACTGCCCTCTTCCTAGCATAGCAGAGAGTGGTTTTTTGTAAGTAAATCAGGAATAACGAGTGTTTATCCAAAAGAAAAACTTTGAATTAAGTTAGTCCCCACTGCATGCTAAACCATGGTTTACAAAGGCAGCTAAGCAAGCCATGATTGGCTGCAGTCACATTCTCTGAGGTCCAAACAAGGCATTGTTGTGGGGTGAGGCTCCCCAGTCGCCTCTCTGTACGAGTCCCTGTTTTGGAAGTGGGGAAATGAAGGGTGGATTTGATCCTTGTGCTGCAGGATTAAGGTAGGGAAGTTGAGGACATTGGATGCCAGGGAATGATGGGGGTTGGAGTCCTTGCGAGCACCAGGGCAGCTGGAATGCAGCCACTCAGGTTCTGGATGTCCTTTTGGAACCGAAGCATGGATTAAAATACGAAGTTTGTTGCAAGAGGATGAGCCGAGAAAATAACCTTTAAATCCAGATTGGCAAATCACAAACTCTAGTTTAGGAGCTGTGTGGACTTTCCTAGTTATCTTCTAGGACCTGCATTTGGGGGACCAAAGAGATAAATGCAGCTGGATCTTTTTTTGCAACAAAGAGGTCTAGAAAATAATAAATAATAATTGGTGCAATTAAAACAGTTTGAAAAGTAAAACCTGGCCTAAATTGCATTGGGGGGACACTGTAATGCTTGGTTTCTGGACCTTGGCTACGCAAAGGTGTGTGGACTACAACTCCCACAATTTTCTCACACGCCTTAAGATTATGGCCAGGTTTCCTAACCGTGGCAACTCGATCAGTTGGTGCAACTTTTAAGCCAGGCATCCTGATTTGTTGAGTTAGCCAACTGTCTTTTTTTTTAAAAGGACATCTCTGTAATCTGGCATTGCGCACAATGTTTTTATTCCAGTGTTTGCCCTGGTTGCAGCTTTTCTTGGAAGAATGGGATATTTTAATTTTGGAGGGCTAAGAATTCAGGGCCCCTTGAAGTGTCAACCCAGCAGAAAAATCATTTTAAAAACTTGAAATTTGGAAGGCAGGGAAAAAGGAGAGAGAATCCTCTTCTCAAGATGATTGCACTCTTTTTGCTTAAATCCCAAAATTGATCTTGATTTTTACTTCAGCTATTTCAGAGGCCATTCCCTCCTTGTTTTATTGCCTTCTTAGTTTCTCAACTGTTTGCTGTTAAGTTGTTGTACAACATCAAAACATAGTTATGCAATTATTATTTTTTTGATAGCACGTGAGTGCTTGGTATTTTGTTTCCTTTTTTCTTTTTCTTTGCTTTGGGAGGTGGCATAGCTTGGCGTAGTCAGTTTGGGATTTCAAGTTCTGTCTGGCAGCCGGAAGTTTTGCTGAACAATTTGCACCCTTGCCCCAGCCCTTTTCCCCAAACAGATGTTGGTCACCTGCCATACAATGAAACAGATATTTCCATTTAGCATGGGTGGCCAAGCCCTTTTCATAACCAGCCTGATTTTAAATGGGAATATGTGAATTTGGTGCCCAAGCCTGAATGTGAGGAGCAAACCTAGGAATGGTGGTTTGCAGCCAGAGTGGGGGAAATAGAAGCGAGCTATGGCTCCAAAAGTATAAATCCGGCATTAGCCAGATGTTTTTGGACTACACTTCCCAGCATGCCTAGAGAGCATAAAAGATGCTGGGAGTTTTCTGGAGTGATCCTAGCTGATTTAGTAAACATAGTTTCAGGTAAAATTGTAAATCTGGGTGGGATGGGACAGGATAACCTTTAAACTAGGATAAAAGATAGGATTGTGAAAAGCTTTTTTAGCCACCCTGTTGAACACAATTGCTGTGTATTTTCCAACAACATTTATAGTCCGTCTCTGAATTAATTTCGCATGCAAAGTAGGCTGATCCTTCCCTTAAACATTGATGGGGATTCCACTCCTTTAGACTGTGAATAATTTAGCCAGGATATAAACAGGAATGTAGGAAGGCTGGCCTTTGGAAATCACTGGGTTGAGAAAGCCTCCATTAGCATAAGGTTGTTATCTAATGGGATGCAGAAATATTTCCTGGGCACGTTGGCTGGGTGTCTTCTTTGGCGATGTTTAAAAGATGAACTTGAGCCGTGATTTAAGAAAAAATAAACAAACAAATGCCGGCTAAGAATCTGGAGGGTGCTTTTTCCTTAAAGAGTTTTCTGCTTCCTCTTTTTTTTTGTGAATGGGGCTTTGCCGGAGGTGGAGAACACAGAATCACAAGAGTTGGAAGGGACCCTGGAGGCCATCTAGTCCAACCCCCTGTTCGAGCAGGAGAAATAGCATTTCAGACAAATGACTGAGTCCGGCCTTTTCTTGAAAGTCAAGCTCCACCCTAGATGGGAAAGTTTCTCCAAACTGGGGTACGCGTTTAATTTTGGTGGTTAAAATTTGAACACTTAGGAGTACACAATTGTGCCCAGAGAGTTGGCTTGCTCAGATCAAGAGCCCAAACTCGGTTTGATGCAGGTGGAGATTAAACCAAGATGCTTCTATCCCCAAATCATTGCTTGGAGTGTTGGAAGACTGAGATGCATTTGATTGAAGTCCAAATTTTCTCCTGCATCCTTTTTTTTTTTTTCTTGATATGTAGGAAAGCTCAAATCTAGGAAGTTTATCTACTTTTTTTTTTTTTGGCCACTCTTGTTGGTGGCGGTGATATAACTGGTGCCTTTTTAAAAATGCTACTAAACGAGTTAAAGGGCTGCTTTATATGTGCAAACACCTTTAAAAAAAAAAGATTATGTAACTGAATTCTTGTGGTTAAGGTGCCAGGTTAACTTCGAGTTTAAAAGGAGGGGGGGATTGTTGATATTGCAAGAAGAGAGTAGATTGAAATGATGATTTGGAGATTAGAAAAGACTAAAGATTGAAAGGGGAGGAAATAAATATTCTGTAGAAAGGGCAGAACACATCAATGTGTGTTTATTATTTTATACGGTCTTTTTCTCTTATATATAATTTTACTGTATTGAAAGAATA